AAACCCCTATCACCATCTGCGTGGCTTGTAACATCAGCGGAGGGGAGTAGAACCTAGGTGTTCGGCCGAACTCAAAACTTTTAATTTAAATTATGTATTTATTTTAAAAAATTTATTTATAGAAATTTATTATAACCAGTAATTTAAAAATTTAGAATCTTGAATCTATAAGTTTCATTTCCTGACTTCGCCTCTGTTGTATATTAGACATACATTATCAGTAGGGCACTATAGAGATATTGATTTCGATATTAATTAACATATTGTCTGAGTGTTGAATAAGTGCACTTTCTATATCACTCCAGGAAAAGGAGTAACGATTCCATTTCAAACAAATCTAGGAGAGTGATGATAGGACTCTCGCAAACTTTAAAAAGTGTTTAATTTGCAAAATGGAATACAAGTTGAGGGGATAATTATGTATTTCTACCTTATCATCATTACAGATTTATCACATTTTTATCCCCAAATTGATGGATAGCTATGTCTCAATCTTAACATATCATAAATCATGAATAACCTTCTAAATTTTGAAAGTAGGATCATAATTGTTGGCAAACCTATCTTATAAGATTAGAGTTTTATTAGTTGACTTACATCTTAATTCCTAAATGGATAATACCTTCATATTGGATTATGAGCTTAAATAGAAAAAAAACTGATGCTCCTTCACCTGCTTTTGCTTTTCTTTGCATTTTGTTATTATATTGCGGTTATGATTATTGCTCATTTTTCCAATTTATATAATGCACTTTACTTTTAGTATTTTCAAAAAGCATGATATCTTTATATATTTAGATAGAGGAGGGTATGGTTGGGACAAACCGAAATTCAACCAAAGACCAAATATTTTGGATTTTCGGATTACAAATTGGTTTTAGATTTAACTTTTTAAAATATAAATTTTGGATTGGCTTTCAGATTTGGGACTCCGGATTTTTGGATATCCGAAAATCCTATATTTCTATACTTCATAGTTATCTCTATCAGTTAGACGCCTATTTTTCATGTGTCGAATACCAATGAGTCTAATACTCACACATTAAACATTAGCTCATATATCAAATGCTAATCACTAAGTTCATATTCATACCCTACTAAATCGAAAATAGGATTCATTTTATTCTTACCCACGCGAGTTCTCATTTTTTGCGTTTGTGAATACAGAAGGTTGAAGTTGCATTACTTAGTACTGCATCTGTTGCATTTATTTAATAATGATTTTATTGCTTGCATGGATACTTCATTTGGATGATTGTAGTTGAAATGAGGGACTATTAGGGCAGTTGGACATGAATACTTTACTTGGATATTCGTTTTTATTAGAAGAACGAAGAGTCTCAACTTATCGGCTCAAATTCGAGAATTCAAAATATCCAATCCGACTAATCTGAAACCGAACTTAAAAAATTCGAAAATCCGATCTTATTTGGATTGGATTTGACTTGTAATTTCTTCAATCCAAAATCAAAAATTCAAACCGAAATTTTTATATCTAATTCAAACTGTCCGAACGCCCACCCTATATTTAAAAGCAGTTTAAATTTGAATTTTTCATTATGCTTATTAAGATAATTTACAAGCACATATATATTTATAATTTATTTTAAATCATAAGTTTCAAAAGTATTTTTTCCTCTGTAAACTAATTAAAGTGCATCACGGAAATGGGATAGAGGAAATATTATTTATCATATTTTTTTCTTTACTTCTATATTATATTACTATTATTATATTCACTACGTCATTGTAGAAATTTTATTCCTGGTAGGCCATCCCTCAGACGTAATGTCCAACTGAATTTCTTAAAGTAGTCAAAGGAAAACGTCAATATAAAAGTGACACTACTATTTATCGGGGGCCCACTAGTATTTGGATTACGTTAATACCCCATTATCACTTAGTGGGCTGGGCCCTTTGCTTTTTCTGCTTTTTGCCTGTTTCCAGCTTTGGACTGAAAAAGGGCCCACAATAACCAAGAGAATACGTATACACAACGTTAATCTTCCTACTTCCTTTTTTTTTTTAAATACATTTCTTAAATATATTTGGACGTCTAATTTTTTGTTTTTTGTACTTGTTTTTGGAGAATAAAAAGATTACCCTTTTTACAACGAAATTGGAAAAAAGTGTACTCTTACTACCAATTTAGCTAGAATTTATATCTTGATATTGAAAGTTATTTCATCATTTTTGAGTGTAGAAAAATCTGGCAAAAGGTTAATAATATTTAGACATCAAATTTTGTTTTCTGAAAAATATTTTTAACTATCAAAACGGAATAATTATAAATTCATAAGGAATTTAAATTAAAAGGTTGGAAAGGACAATTTTTGACTTCCCAAAGGCGCAGAGTAGAAGACCAAAAATGATCCAAGTAGATCTTTCTAAAAATTGATATGCAAAAATTTTATAGTTAAAGTTTCAGACTAAATTGTAAAAAGTATTTATGTATTACTGCTATCCACCAGCAAAAATTATGGTGGAGTACAAGTACTCCTTCATCCTTCACCAGAGATCTCAAGTTTGAACCTTGGAGACGCCTTTGTTAGAAAGCGATTTACCCTCAATATTAAACTTCCCGATACGAGAACGAATTTAATCGGATCCCAATAAAAATACCAGACACCGATTGGGAATCCAAAAAATTTACTGCTATCCAAAAATGGGTCAGATTCTAACATTTCACTTTCTTGTGGTATAGAAAAGCAAGCACAGGCACAACACAAATAAGGCAAAATGTTCCTCACAAGACACATCCACACACCTCATTTTCAGAACCTTATCTTTGAGTTTTGAATTTAAGATTCCTTGCCTTTGTCAAATAGCTAAAATAAGTAGAGCGCTTTAATTTGCCTATTCATTTTAAGAGTTTGAACCACATGCTCCACCGCTTGTGCAGGCCCCCGTCAATTCCTTTGAGTTTCGGTCTTGCGACCGTACTCCCCAGGCGGAGTGTTTCACGCGTTAGCTGGGCCCCTGATCCGCGTAGACCAAGGGCGAACACTCATCGTTTACGGCATGGACTACCAGGGTATCTAATCCTGTTCGCTCCCCATGCTTTCGCACCTCAGCGTCGGTAGGGACCCAGAGAGCTGCCTTCGCTTTTGGCGTTCCTTCGTCAGTGCCTAGCCAACTTTTTTTTTTCGGCATTCAAGAATAAGACGCAAAGTCTAAGATAAGAAGTATTTATCTTGGCTTCTACTTATTTCGAAAGGCCACTGTTTCATATTTATAGAAAAACCCATTCAGTTGCCTCAATATTTATTACTACCCCCGTTTTAAGTCACATAATTTGATACAAAAAAGACTTTTATATTTATAATCTTAAATATGCCATAATATTTAGTGGTTATAAATTTTTTGAAACATGTAAGGTTAAATATATTATAACATTTATTTGACAATAAAAGACGTCTCATCAGGGATAAAATAAAAAAATTGAAGTTAATTATTTTTAAATACAAAAATATTAATATTATTTTTGTTAAAACAAAATGGCATAATAAGAAAATAATAACACATAAATTGAAACAAAGGAATAATTGTTTATTATTTCTTTGTTCTCGTAAAATAATACTATTCCCTATGTCTAAAAAGAATTGTAGAAACATATGATTTACAATGCTACTTCTCGTCGATTTCTTAATTCTTTTTAAGATTTACATCATAGAAAAACCACGTCAGATAGAGTAGTGAACAACAAATTTTGATAATTAGCGAGAAACTCGACAACTGGGGTTAACAAAATGTTTGACACTTCAAATATAATACTATCATTTTTAGTTGAAATTGGGAAGCAATACTATAAATTATAATGAAGTAGATATGGTGCTATGAACTGAGTTGAAGTTGTTAAATAAGTAGGTTTAAAGCTGTTGAGATTATAACAAAAAACACTTCCATAAACCTTCCGTACCTCCACCCCCTTTTAGGTGGCTATATTATTGTAGTAGTAATTTTGTTACAGAAAAGTCAATGCTATAGGTTGAGAACTTTTTCTGGTTTTTCATTCTATATTTGTTTTCGTACTTCAACCCTTAGAGCAGAAAGATTTTTTCCATAAGACACTCGGCTCAACAGAGACAATAATATCGGAAAAAACCAAACAAAAAAATTTGTAACAACAGAAAAAATAAAACCAGAAGTGTTTTGGTACTTCAACCAAGATATTTTTTCCTTTCGCAAATTAAACACAAAATTTCTAATTAAAAGTGAACGAATTTTATTTATTCTACCACAATATTTATGGTTAAGTTGAGAACCTGAGATATTTAAGTATAGGATTCCTAATAAATAATCAATGTCAATTATCCCAATGTAAATTTAATGGGTTTAGCACATTGTTAACTGTAATTGTCTACTCTCTCGGTCTCTCCTAATGTGTTAGACTATGGGCAGCAGCTCTCGACTTTCGACGACTTTGTCTTTAGTGACGTCGTGTATGTACACTAACATAGTGGTTGAAAAATAATACGCTTTATATTGGAAATACGTACAGGTAATTTACACGGTATAATTAAGATATTGCTGAACTCATACCTTATAGTACTGCTTAGTATATATTCTTTCCAATTTAATTTATATGAACTTATTTGATCAGATATAGAAATAAAGAATACACGAAAGGTTTTAAAATATATGAACTTAAATATAATAATTATAATTTAGGTGATTTTAAGACTCTTAGAACTCGCGTTCTTAAATTTGTTATGGTATTTGTATTTTACAATAACAAATCTAAGTTAAATACTTTCAAACTAATAGATGATCAGTTTTTCTAATGACTAAAAAGATAGTCTCAAACTGGACAACCATCTTTAACTCAAAGTAGTCGACCATGATTTAACACAGTAAAAAACATAACTTATATTTAAAGGCTTCTTTCAATAAAAAATATGCTTTGATATCTTTTTAATGCTACTCCTTCCTTCAAAAACTGTCGTAATTTCTAAATATATTATAGCAATTATTTATCATTTTAGAAATTTAAGACAAACTATATTATTTTTCTGTTTTAGCCTTGGTGATAATTATTCCTAAAAACCACAAACACCTTAGTTATGAACTAGTATTATAATTGTTCAAATACCAATAAGGTAAATAGTCAAAAATACCTCCTAAGTAAAAACACGATAGATAACTTTATGGTAGCTATTCGACCAAAGGACTCACAAGGCAAGTTAACTAAGAAAATAGCTTATCTATACAATGGAAAAATCTAGTTACCATTGAAGTATATGATATTTTTATACTTCTATTATGTGCAATCGAAGTGTTCCATCTGTTTCAAATTAATAATCTTAACGTCATGATTACTAATTTGCTTTTGTAAATGTTGAAAAGAAAATCCTACTAAGAAAAGGTAATGAATATAATCATGACAAAGTTGCTCACCAAACCAACTTAAAGGGTCACCCGAACCATTATTTGTTTTTATGGCTAAAAAAGTACCTTTTTACCATTATTTGTTTCTAAATTGATTAACTTCAATCAAGCATCTTTGTAATCAATTAATTATCTATTTAGTGAAAAATCTAGGTTGTCCAATATATCTTTAAATTTTTAATTATCCTCTGTTCATTCTGGTCTCTGATAATGTTCCTGATTACTGTTCAGTTCCTGCCAAACGAATCTGACCATCACGAAAAATACCTGCAAAGTAAACAACAACAAATATTGTCAGTTAACAACTTCAAATCTTATAAATAAAAAATAGTAAATAAATAAAGTGCCAGATAATAAATCATTATAACTAAAACAAAATTACGTATATATTCCATCTCCACATACGTATATACATATATATTCCGCAGTACCTAGATACGTATATATTCCACCTTGACATAGACACGGAAATCACGCATACAACCACGGGACAGATACGGCGTACAGCCTGACCAAACAGAAAACGGAGAAGTGAGAACGGATAACGTAACGGAGAATGGATATCGGTGAGATAAATGGGAACGGATAACGGTGACGGAGAATGGAGAATGGATATCGGTAAATGAAATTGAATTGATGTGATAACTGGTTGGCCAGTGAATGAATGGATGATGATAATCAAAAACATTGAAGAGACTGATTCTGAATTGTTATCAATTAAATTAATTTAATTTAGGCCTTAGGAGTTTGATTTTACCGATATATTATCAGAATTTGAAGCTCCATGGACAAAAAAGCCAAAAAATTAGAGGATTTTTTTAATGCTATAGTTAAAAAAAAACCTAACTATAGAGTCTATACACAGTCGGAGATTAGGGCATAGGATTTTCTACGGCTATCTGCTTTACGACTCCTCGGCTTTGGACATGACAGAAAGCCGGCTAGGTCTATGCTGGAAATCGCCTCGGCGGCGCTGTTGATGAGACGAAGGACGAATCAAAGCGGCTAATGCTCTTTTCACCAAATCACCTTCTACAGTTCCGATTCTCACGAGCGAGTTCGTCATGGCGGACCGCCTCATATGCAACTGGTTCGGATTGCACGACGGCGCACGGCTACCGGTTGCAACAATACTCTTATGTAGACTACATCGGAACGAACCTGGATGATTCGTCGGCGAGCACATACACGTCTTCTTCTGACCGCTACTAGGCAAGGATTTATAACTCCGGTTCTGCACCACGTGATTCCGGTTTACAGCAGAAATAGACCGGCTTGGTGAAGTCGAACGGTCCAGAGAGAACCGTACGGACGACGCCGGAGATGACGACCTTGAGCTGTATAAATTCACACGGTTCGGAGAAGTTGACCTGTGGAGAATTGCATGTGAGCCGGCTGAAAAACCGGAAGTTGAGGAAGCAAAAGCAGAACCGGACCTTTGGCCTGGAGAATAAAATCTTCCGGCCGGTGAAAGTGACCGGAGAACCGGTCCGCTTGACTTCCGAGTAGCCGCCATTGTTGTATAACTGTTTAGAGAAAGAGCAGAAGAATCTAGAAGAGAGAGAGAGAGAGAGAAAACTTGAAGAGTTTTTTTTCTTCTTTTTTTTCTAAACCCGTTTGGGCTATTTGGTTTGGCAAACCTAAGCACCACTCGAGGTATCTATTTATAGTAGTCCAATTGCTATGTTTGGGATACTTTTCCTTTAATTGCGTGGTGAACCCTTTAACTTCTTTGAAATATGTTTTTGGTCCAAATGCAAGTATGATAATAGTACAGCTAATACTTGATGGCTAAGTAAATCATAAATACACTATGCACATCATGTCAATTCTAACAAACAGATATTTCCTTCATAACAATTTGGAGTTTTGTATGTCGGTAATATTTGGATCCTATAATGCTCCAAAATTCAAATTAAGATATTTTAGGTGAATAGTTAAAAAGTGACAAGAGCTGTGAAAAAATTATATACTATCAATATACAGATAAAATTACATTATTAAGGATAATTTTTGTTGCAAAAGTTGTCGAAACTTACTACCGTATAAAATAAGAAAAAAATTTATGTTAAAATTTAATATTTGATATAAAAGGACCAACATTAACAAGAAAAAAATATTTCACAAAATTTATTAGTAATCTTTATTTGCTTTTTAATTCTACATAAGTCTCGTCTTATTTAGTATTATCATTGGTTTCCTTGTACTTTTTGTAAATATGTGAAACCCTTTAGCCTAAACGAAGCACTACTTTATTTTAATTTATGTGAATATATTGACTGGGCGCATAGTATAATAAAAAAATATATACTTATAAAATTTGTAATTCTAAATATATCATTATATTTGTCTGGGTATAATTATTTTGAGACTTGTGGCCTAAATATATTATAATATTTATGTGACTATAATATTTTTTTTTACTAAATGCAAGATTGAAAATTTAAACTAAGTCATTTTAAAATTTAGATAGAAGTCATTTTTTCAGAAACACATTAAAAAGGAAATAAGTTCATATAAACAAAAACGGATGAAATAGCAAAGCTAAAAATATCCAAACTTATAGTTGCACTAAATGTAAATTATAGAAATATAAAGGGTAAGGATGCAATAAGACATTTTCAATTCCTTGGAAATTCAATTTCTTGACCAAGCAAGTGGGCACAGAACAGAACAACTTAACCATAGTTAAGAAAGTAACAGGACCTAGGATTCGGAAACCACGGGCTAGGGATAAGCTGATAACAAAACAAAACGACAAGGGCATTTGCCGTTTGATTAACGGCCACTGTTGTAGTGGGGGCACATATAGACTGCCACGTGCCTTATCAGCTTTAGTGACTCACTCCCCATAGGTTCCACGTACACATAGTTTCTTTATTTATTTATGTCTACTTCGAAATTCGAATAAAGCAATAATGAATTATTTTTCCCCTTTTCATTTCATGTGTATCAGTAGCACAAAATTTAAAAATGTAACGAAAACTTTTAAAAATTTTGTGGCTTAAAGTAAAGTGGAATGCCATACGCAAGATTTGTGATGAGCAGTGTTAATTTTTAAAAAAGTAAACTAATAAATAAATTATTATAAGAACTAGTAATGTCATTTTTCATATCTATACTAAATTTTTAAAATTTTTATTATTTTTGTCTACATATCTAGTATGATAATTTTTCGACGAAGCGTGTCACGTAACATTGCTTGAGGAAAGATATATTTGCCTTTGCTAATGTGTATATAAATATTTAAAATACTCTTTAAATTTTATAGTGTTAAATAATTCATAATATCCCACAATGAAGTGTTATTAGAATAAAATAAAAATAGTTGAAATTAAAAATTACTTAATACAAGAGGTTATATTTGAATTAAACTATAAAACAAAAATAAGAAAATAAGATATGGGAAGATCATGGCCACTGGTATCATATCATGGGCGGTGCTCATGTGGGGTTGTGTGATGAATCTCTATTAAAATTGTGACTTTTCATTGTTATAGTTTAATTATCTGTTACATTGATAATTTAGGACGACATTGTTTTTCGTATCTTTATGTTAAAGCCCCAATAATGTGTACCTAACCTATACTATATGTTTATTCATTTTTGTAATGGTGTTAGGGCACAATTAGGAGAATAATAATTAGAACCATGGATTTGCTCTAGTAGTTTGAGGTTCGTCCAACTACATATGTTTATAGAGAGGCTGATTTGCCCCACTTAGTCAAAGCAAGCTGGTTCACTGGTTAATTCCCTGAAGTGCGAGGCGGAGGACGGGAGTTCGAAGCTCAGCAGCTTTGTTCCTTTCCTTTATTGTTTGAGCAACACGTTTGCTTTAAATTTTTGAGCAACACGTTTCTCTTTTTCAAGAAGCAGCGTACTTTTTATTAATTAGAATTAGAATTAGATGCATTGTAGGATACAATTACTCATCCAATGTGTGTAGGGAAAAAGAGAACTAAACTACTTTTTTGTGTAGGAAAAGGATAATAAACAATATAAAATACATTGGAACTCAATTATTTTAGACCTGTTATAAAATAATAAAAGAACAAGAGCAATATTGCATAGAAAGAGAGAGAGAGAATTCTTATTGATTGTTTGGAGTGAATTACAATGGAATAGAACCCTCTATTTATAGGGAGAGGGTGACTTATCCACCAAGTAATAAACCCTAGAATCTCTCTAAATATAGACATTCACCATAAATAAAATTCTATTTATAACACTCCCCCTTGAATGTCTATTCAACAGATAATGTGCCTCGTTAAAACCTTAACTAAAATAAAACCCAGTGGGAAAAAAATTCTAGAGAAGGAAAAAGAGTACACATATCTAACAATACGCCTTTTGGTTGCCTCGTTAAAAACCTTGCAAGAAAAATCCAGTGGGACAAAACCTTGTAAGGGAAAAAGAGTACAATGCGTATTAACTCCCCCCGATGAGAGCATCAATTCACATCCTTGAGCCTTCGCCCAATCTTGTGCACTAGCTTCTTGAAGGTTGACGTCGGCAAAGATTTGGTGAATAAATCCGCCATATTAACTCCAATGAATATGTTGCACCTTGAAAATCCTCGCTATGACATTATCATGCTTATAGTTATAGCAAGATACCTTTAAGCACAAATTGCACTTAGGATGTGGTCATTCATGACCAAAAAATTCTCCAAGAATTGTATATGCTATCAGCATTTTAAATCGTTCATGGATTGCCATATAAGTATAGTCAATAAGCCATATAAATAGACTTTAGATTTGCATAAGTTTTCATGTCATGCCAGACATATAAGATATATAAAGGTGATAGCACACACCATTGTCTTTATACTTTTAAGTGTTTGAACTACAGGTCCAAAACTACTTGTCTTTCATATGAAACCAAATTCTATTTGAATTGTTTCTCCAGACTTAAGATCCTCATATATATTTAGCGCTATTATATATGTCGTCGACAAACATTTTATATCGGTTTCAATATTTTTTCATAAAGACATAACATAGAGATCTCTTCATTCATATTTTCAGGTACCTGAATCTCTCATGAGATTTTATGAAGTGTTATGTCATGTGATCTTCTAGATCACTTGCCTCCTTATTATGATCATTTTGATCATTTGTTCATCTTCTTTATCAAGAAGTTGATTTGAAACCGATTAGTCTATACGACTTAAGCGTACCACAGACTTTGTCCTTCTAGGACTTAATAGGAGCATTTGCAATGAGAATATAGTTACTTTCTTTGGGTCAGCAAATGCGTCTGGCATGCTTTGCAATATATTGCAGATGAATTATATTTTTATGAACCTCAAGTTCATATTATTTTATTCGAGGATCTAGATGTACAAATGATAATTCATTCCACGTAACTTTTTCTCAACTGTTTATCATGTCTCCCCCTCATGTTAGAAAAACTAACTTGTTACCTCAACTTTGAGAATCCACCTTTGTGCGTTATGGTGTTAATCAAAATATACACCGCACATCAATAATAATAAGATGGAATTATTTGGTTCCTGACCCTGAACCACTTGTGAGGGGAGAAAATAATATACTTTGGTATATAACGTATATCAAACTGATATACAAAATTTTATTCTCATAAGCAATAGTTTAGCTATTAAGTGGAGGCACTCAATAAATCATTTTGCTAAACCAACTGTGATATAAACCAACTTATCAAGATGAACTTCTTGAATAGAAAATCTAGAAATTATGCTCGAAATTAAATTATTAAGCAAGTTACCTCGCAAAACACCATGTTGCGGGTTATTAATAATCGCACATGTAACCATCTCATAGATGCATCTTATGTGGTATACATGGCAGGTGAATGAGCCCATATTCACCTTTGATATTTCCAGCATTCATGAGATTCAATCCCAATTTTAGTTGGTATATTAATTAATGAGAACAGCCAACATAAGAGAATTCGTAAAGAACTTTCTAGTTCTTTAATATTTACCCATGTGAATTCTCTTTTATTTTTGCACATCATACTTAAATTGATATGGGTAAACCAACTATGCCAACTGAATAAATTATCAATATTGATAAACTTCAGGTTTACACCATGATGTGTGCAATTATGAATAAACTCCAAGTTTATTATGATATGGGTTTTATATCAATAAATATCCACTTTATTGTAGTATTCTTTTGTTTATGTAGTACAAATTGGAGAATAAAGCGGGTAGCTTTTCACATACATATTACCCCGCTACAAGTTGTAGTAATAGAAGATATTAAATCTTTCCTTTATTTATAGTCTCAATATAATCAACCGCTTCGCGTATACTTTGGAAACTGAATAAGTTTCTTTGAGACTTACTACAACACAATACCTTATTGGTAATTAATTGTGTTTCTCCAAAATAGTATAATTGGCTCTTGCAGAGTTCTCAATTAATTTTGTACTACCACAGATTCATCAACATCCATGTGGTGAATATCTCTTTTAAAGAGAAAATTATACCATTATACTCATGGTCAAAATTATATGCAAGATCTGTTTCTTGCATTACTGTTATTCTTTAATAATCACATTACCAAAATATTTTGGCGTACAATAGGTACGTGACCAATGACCATTCATGCCATAATAATGACATTGTTTTCTTATATCATGTCAAACCTCCTTCTAGAGGTGAGTGCGTGGTATATTCACTACCACTAGCACGTTCATATTCTTCCAAGAATGAATATGTATTCATAAATCACATGTTGTCACATTCACATCATGAATGGACCATAGTCATCTGCATGTGCTTTACGAAATCTTATGTCAAATCGATGACAAACAATAACTTCATAGAGTGAAGGCTTATTTTGAGAATCCTTATTATTCTCATTACCACGATAATGACGATTATAATTTCTTCTATTACCACGTCCACATCCATTGATACCTTTATGGTAATAATTTTGTCTTCTTTCAGATTTATTACATATTGCTATCACATTCTCTTAAGGGAATGAGAATGGAGCAAATTCAATGGGACGGGTTTTCAATTCTTTGCCCACAATCATACCTGAATTTGATCATGGAAAGACATAGAAATTTTACCACTTCAGGTGGTTTTAATTTCTTACAAACTCCATTAGAGTTATAATCAAACTTTGTTGTCTTTGCTTGTATATAAAATTAAATTATAGAATAAAAGAGAAAAATACGGTAAAATACATACCTTAAATTAGAATTTAATCATGAAGGAAGTTCATGGAACAATTGACAATCATAATGCTCAATCGCAAATCTTCTACTCAATTGATTAGAGTCTCATGCTGATAACATGTTATAAAACAATAAAAGAATAAGAGCAATATTGCATAGAAAGTGTAACGACCTGACCGGGCGTTTTGAGCCCTAGCGCGTCTTTCAGCAGTCTGAGGCCATGAGCAGCTTCATTTCAGGTATTATGACTTGTACGCGTGGTCGGAATTAAATTCCGGAAAGTTCGGAGTTGATTTGGAAAGAGAATTCTCATTTCGGAAGCTTAAAGTTGAAAGAATTAACTAGGATTGGATTTTTGAGTAAACGACCTCGGAATCGGGATCCAAAGGTTCCAGCAGGTTCGTATGATGATTTCGGACTTGGGCGTATGCCCGGATCGGGTTTTGGATGATCCGAGAGCGTTTTGGCGCCTATTGTGGAAAGTAGCATTTTGAAAGAAATTTCATAAGTTTGGTTTGAAGTGCATTTCAGTGATATCGATGTCCGTTTGGGATTCCGAGTCTGGGAGCAGCTGCGTATGGTGATTCTGGAGTTGGGAGCGCGATCGGAAGTGAATTCGGAGGTCCGAAGGTCATTTTGGAGCCATTTGGCTAAAGATAGAAATTTGAAGATTTTTGAGAAGTTTGACCGGAAGTGGACTTTTGATATCGGGGTCGGAATCCGATTCCGAAAGTTGGAGTAGGTCCTTAATGTCGAATATGACTTGTGTGCAAAATTTGAGGTCAATCGGACGTGATTTGATAGGTTTAAGCATCGAAAGTAGAAGTTGGAAGTTCTAAAGTTCATAAAGCTTGGATTAGGGGTTGTGTCATGATTTTAGCATTATTTGATGTGATTTGAGGCCTCGAGCAAGTCCGTAATGTGTTTTGGGACTGGTTGGTGTGATTGGTCGGGGTCCCGGGGGCCTCGGGTGTGTTTCGGGTTGTATCGCGCTCTTATTTGATGTTTTGACGTCGTTTCTTTGGAGATAAAGGGGTGCCATATTAAGCAAATGTGCTCCAAATTAAGTTTTTATTGAGCCATTATATCCGTATCGTAATTTCGGAGCCAACGAAAAAAGAATCGTCGAATTTGGACATCGTATGAGGGAGTTATGCTCATTTTCGTGTCGAGAAAAGTGCTGATTGCTGTCATAACCGCAGATGCGGAAATTTTTGCGCAGATGCGGAACCGCAGATGCGGAAATTTTCCGCAGATGCGGTCAAATTTCCGCAGATGCGGAAATTGCTGGAGGTAGAGAGATTTCTTTAAAAGTCGAAGTTTGGCTCATTTTCACTTCATTTCTTCCATGAGAGCCGATTTGGAGCAACTTTGGAGTGCCATTTTCATCACCAAGAATGAGGTAAGTGATTTCTACTAGTTTTGAGTATATACAAGGTTTATACATGGATTTAGACTTGGAAAATTGTAGAAAACTTGAGGTTTGAGGGAAAACCTAGAAAACTAGTATTCTTGGATTTTGACCACGATTTTGGGTATGGAATTTAGAGAAAATCATATATTTGAGTTCGTGAGGCCATGGGTAATCTTTATCTTTGAAATTTTTTGGATTCCGGGCACGTGGGCCCGAAGGCATTTTTGTCAACTTTTCGATCGGGGTTAGGAATTGTTAAATTGGATTATAATGAGTACCTTAGCATATATTAATGGATTTACATAATTATTGGCTAGTTTTGGAGCGTTGTGCATCGATTCGAGTCTTCGGAAGGGCGTGGAATGCCGGTTATGGACCTTCGGAGCGAGGTGAGTCTCCTTTCTAACCTTATAAGAGGGAATTGTCCCCATAGGTGAGTTAATTGGTTGTGCTCCTATTTGTGGGGGCTACGTACGCACGAGGTGACGAGAGTCCGTGCGTAGCTACTATTATGCTATTGTCCAGGTAGTTTAGGACCCAAAGCATGCTATATTTGGAATATCTGTAACCTTATTGATAGCTTGAATTGCTTAAATCACATTGAATTAGTAGATGAACTTCTAAAAGGATTAAACTTCATTTTCTTAAATTGTTAAAAGAGAAAGTGGCTTTTATTTGAATAAATATTCCTCGATAAATTCTTAATTGGATATCTGATCATGTATTTCTATGTGTACCTGCGTCTCATGTATGGTTTGCGAGCAGGGTGATTGTTTATCTTATGTTGACCGCGTCGCATGGATAGTTCGCGAGCGGGGTAATAGATGCTTCTATGGTTCGCGCCGTTCGACCCTCGGCAGTGCACAGTTTATTTTCTGTTGGAGCGGGTCGTACGTACCACGGTGTTATTTGCGCATGCTTGTATTGCTGCCTTGAACTTATTGAAGTTGTTATTGCCTCTTCATGGCTTGAGAATATTTGGATAAATAATGAAAAGGAATTTGGGAAATCTCCCTATAAAAGAATTAATTGTTTACTTGTTTCCTCCTATTGGATTAAAAATCATGTTTATAAGAGTCCACGATTTAATGAATTATTGACATCATTATTGGACCATTAGTAAGTGTCGAAGTCAACCATCTCGTCTCTACTTCTTCGAGATTAGACGGGATACTCATTGAGTACACGTTGTTTTCGTACTCATACTACACTTCTGTGCATTTTTGTTGCACAGGTATATGTAACTCTAGCGGCCTACTGGGCGCAGCAACACGGATGATTCGGGGACTAGGTGAGTTGCATTATTCGAGGCGGCCCGTAGCTAATACAATCCCTTCTAGTATATTGTGTTTCCTTTCTGTCCACTGTATTCCGGACGGATGTTGTATTATATTATTTCTTAAAAATTGCTCATGTACTTGTGACACCGGGTTCTGGGATGTATTTGGGTTTATTCATAAATTTTAAAGGTTGTTAAATGTTTCGTTATTTATTCGGAGGAACTTACTATGTATTGTTTTAAATGTATAAAAGAAGTATTTTCGGAAATATTTAAATGAGAATTTGATTAAGTAGTTTGATTGGCTTGTTTCTTTGAAGATATTCCAATTAGAAAGAAAAAGAGAAAAACTAAAAGTAGTAGAACAACTCACGGCAAGCAATTTCGGCGATTTCAATGGCTAGATTTTTCCAAAAAGTAGGTCTTGTTATAAATAGAATTTTATTTATGGTGAATGTCTATATTTAGAGAGATTCTAGGGTTTATTACTTGGTGGCTAAGTCACCCTCTCCCTATAAATAGAGGGTTCTATTCCATTGTAATTCACTCCAAAAAATCAATAAGAATTCTCTCCCTCTCTCTCTTTCTGTCACGACCCCAAATCCACTAAGGGTCGTGGTGGCGCCGGACATCGCTGTCAGTTGATTTTTGTGCAATTTATAGGGTTATCTAATTGATGTTTTGATTTATAATTCAGCTTAAATTCCAAATGAAGAGATTTTATTCTGTAGTACCTTCCGAGCCTTCAAAACAAGGTTCAACATCTCAAAGTTCATCTAACTTGGAAGAAACGACCGATGAGTCAGAACAACGTCCACGAAGTGAAGGAGTTAATTTGGATTCTTTAGAGCCTGATCCGGCTAAAAGATTAGCAATTCGAAAATATCATCCAAATGACCGTGATGCAGTAAGAAGAAGATATAATCAACAAGGTCCTTGCCGACCTCGAAATCACAATTTCCCTCAAACAAATTTTAATGGGCAATTGCGCCGCTTTAATCCTCGATGGTTTGTTGAGTACGATTGGTTGGAGTATAGCATAACAAAAGATGCGGCATATTTCTTCTATTGTTATTTGTTTCAAGATGAATGTATTAATCAAGGGGGAGGAGATGTATTTTCAAGCATAGGGTTTACAAGTTGGAACAAGAAGGATAGATTTGCCATGCATATTAGTGGACCAAATAGAGTTCATAATCAGTCAAGAAAGAATTGTGAAGATTTGATAAGACAAAATCAATCCATTGAAAGTGCACTTGCTAAACAATCTGAACAACAAAAGTTAGAATACCGAACTTGATTAGAAGCTGCAATTGATGTGATAAGATATCTTTTGAACCAAGGATTATTATTTCGGGGACATCGTGAAGGTGAGTCATCTTTTAATAGAGGTAATTATATTGAACTTCTTACATGGTATGCAAAGCGATGTAAAAATATTGATGATACGTTGAAAAAAGCTCCAAAAAATATCCAATTGACTTCTCCATATATTCAAAAGGATATTATCACTGCAGGTAAGATGGAAACAATTAAGAGTATCACTAAGGATATAGATGATGATCACTTTTCTATCTTAGTTGACGAATCTCGTGATGTGTCATGTAAGGAGCAAATGGCTATTGTTTTGCGTTATGTTGATAGAAGGGGAAGCGTGATGGAGCGATTTATGGTATTGTTCATGTTCGTGATACTTCTGCATTGTCTCTAAGGAATAAAATTATTAGTTTACTTGCTCAACATTCTTTAAGTCCATCTTCTATACGTGGACAATGTTATGATGGAGCAAGCAACATGCAATGTGATTTAAATGGTCTTAAGATCTTAATGCAAAAAGAAAGTAGAGGTGCTCATTCTATTCATTGTTTTGCTCATCAACTTCAATTAACTCTTGTTGTGGTTTCCAGAAGATGTGATGAAGTACAAGAACTTTTATTATTAGTTTCCGATATATTGAATATGGTGGGAGCTTCTTTCAAGCGTAGAGATGAACTTCGTGAATCTCAAGCAGAAAAAATAGAAGAGGTATTACGTAAAGGGGAGCTTGAAACTGGTAAGGGTTTGAATCAAGAATTGGGTCTTGCTAGAGCTGGTGATACTCGAAGGGGATCTCACTATAAATCCTTTAATAATTTTATTATTATGTTGGCCCTATTATTGATGTGCTTGATGCTATTGCTGTTAACGCACGTTTTGAAGAGAAATGTAAGGCAAAGGGATATCTTAAAGCATGTTTAACATTTGAAGTTGTCTTCATGTTGCATTTGATGCGTACAGTTTTAGCAATCACAAATGAGCTTAATGCAGCCTTTCAAAAGCAGGAGCAAGATATTGCAAATGCCATGTTACTTGTTGGAGTGGCAAAGGATCAGTTGCAAACACTGAGAAAAGAAGGTTGGAATTCACTTATTGATGAAGTATCTAAATTTTGTATAAAATATGATATTTTTATACCCAAATTTGATGAGCTTTATGTTATCCCTGGAAGATCACGTCGTAGAGTTTTTGAGTGCACTGTTTCGCAGCACTATCGTGTTGAGGTATTTTGTAAAATTTTTGATTGGCAATTTCAAGAACTCAATAATCGCTTAGATGAGGTGACAACTGATTTGCTTCTTGGAGTTGCTTGCTTGAACCCAACTGACTCTTTTTCCAATTTTGACATTGAGAAGATATTGAGATTAGCTGAGTTATATCCTGATGATTTTGATAAATATTCTATGGTCGACCTTCGCTTTCAGCTTCAGAATTACATTGTTGATGTCCGAGATCATGATAAAAGGTTTTCTAGTCTTAGGGGACTTGGTAGTGGAGACAAAGAAGCATGGGACTTATCCTCTTGTTTTTCAACTAGTGAAATTTGCTTTGCTTTTGCCAATTGCTATTGCTACAGTTGAGAGAGCTTTTTCGGCAATGAAGTTGATTAAGACCGATTTGCGGAGTCGAATGGATGATGAGTTTTTGAGTAGTTGTTTGGTGCCTTATATAGAAAAGGATGTATTTAGTCTTATTCCTAATTCGGTTATTATGAATACCTGCCAAAATATGAAAACTCGTCGAGGAGAGTTGTAGTAAGGTGATTGTTTTTTTAAATATGATGTCGTTACTATATTTGTTTCTTTGTCTACTTTAAATGTCGACCCCACTTATGAAAAATACTGCGTACGCCCCTGTGTTTATATATATTAGTTCAAAAAAATATTACATAGATTAGTGTTCAAATCTCAATAGATAAGAAATATTAGATGATTTCTTCTTATATATACATACATATTGACGGAGAGACTTATTCGACACATATATTAGCAGGACGTAGTAAATATTCAACGAAATAGTAAAAGAGATATACATATGTTGGTCGAAGATCGTTGACATAAAAAATTATGAAAAGGAAAAACTTTCATGTTAGTGTGAGAAATGAATGTGGGCATGCCCAAATGTTAATGGAGGTCGGCTATAGAGATGCACTGAAGAGGAAATGAGACGAGAGAGAAGGAAGAGAAATGTATTCTCATTGAATCAATGCTGAGCTACAGAAGAATCTGGAAATGAAAATAAGACTCCCTATTTATACACATGGCTAACTAACTAACTAACTTGTTAACTTAATCCCACAGTAATGCCAACTCATTAACAACTGGCATTCAGCTGTATAACTACTCCTAACTACCAGCCTCAACACTCCCCTCAAGCTGAGGGATGGAATATGTTCTTCATTCCCAGCTTGCCTACAGATGATCATGTTGTGGTCTGCATAAGCCTTTTGTAAGCAAGTCAGCTAACTGATCTTTGGTTCCAATATGCTGCATTTGTATTTGCCCATCTTGAATTTTTCCTCTCACAAAATGACAATAAATGTCAACGTGTTTTGTCCTCTCATGAAAAATGGGGTGAGCTGCAATCTGAATTGCAGCTTTGCTGTCGCAAAACAGTTGTACAGGCAAATTCACCTTCACTCCAAGTTCTTTAAGCAACCCAATTAACCAAGTGATCTCAGCTACAGTTGATGCCATGCTCCTGAATTCTGCTTCAGCAGAACTTCTGGAAACAGTACTTTGTTTCTTTGATTTCCAAGACACCAAAGCTTGCCCAAACTTCACCATGTAGCCTGTTACTGACTTCCTGGTTTCTACACATGCTCCCCAATCTGAGTCACAGAATGCTGACAGTTCTGTGCTTTCATCTGCTGGTATAAACAACCCAAGACCTGCAGTGCCCTTAATGTATCTAACTTCTCTCATAGCTGCATCCATGTGAGACTGCTTAGGAGCATGCATGTATTGACTAAGTACCTGAAATACAAAGGCAATATCAGGCCTAGTCATAGTTAGGTATAATAATCTGCCAATCAGCCTTTGGTAGCTGCTTCTATCTTCTAATTCTTTGTCAACTAAGGTTTCATTAGTGTGCAGAAACCTGTCTAGTTCTACAGAGGAAAGCTTTTGATTGAACTCTAGAGGAGTAGCAGCTGTTCTACTGCCTGCTAATCCCATTTCAGACACTAGCTCAAGTGCATACTTCCTTTGATTCATCAAAATTTCTTCCTTGGATCTCAAGAACTCAATACCAAGGAAAAACTTCAGTTCTCCGAGATCTTTCATTTTAAACTTGGCTTGTAGATCTTTTCTCACTTGTTGAATGAGTGCTAAGCTAGTTCCTGTCACCAGCAGATCATCCATATATACCAACACTACTACAAGATCTGCCTTATGTGTGAACAAAGAATAGTCATAGTGCGACTGAACAAAGCCCATGTCAATCAGTGCACTAGTCAGCTTTAAGTTCCATTGTCTGGGAGCTTGTTTAAGACTATACAGTGACTTACGAAGCCTACAAACCTTCTGTTGTTGTTGTAACTCCCACTGGCTGGCAAAGCCAACTGGGATGTGCATGTACACATCTTCAAGCAGAACACCATGAAGGAAAGCATTGTGTACATCCATCTGAAAAATATACCATCCAGATGCTGCAGCCAAAGCCACCACAGATCTAACAGTCACCATCTTAGCAATAGGAGAGAATGTCTCCTTGTAATCTAAACCTTCTAGTTGGCTATATCCTTTGGCAACTAGTCGAGCCTTATACCTCTCCACTTCACCAGTAGACTTGTACTTCACTTTAAAGACCCATTTGCATCCTATAAGAGTTTTACCAAGAGGAAGATCAACAATAGTCCAAGTCTGATTAGCTTCTAAGGCTGAAATCTCAGCTTTCATAGCCTCAATCCACTTGGGATCTGCCTTGGCCTCATCATAAGACCTGGGCTCAGTATTGGCTGAATAGGCTGCAAGTGATGCCCTGTAGGTGGGAGATAGAGTCATAGGATACACACTGTGAGATAGGGTGAGCACAGGAAGAAGGCTTAGAAATCACAATGTAGTCTTCCATCCATATGTGAGGTTTAGACACCCTAGAAGATCTCCTTAAATCAGCATGAGCAGGTGAAGGAAGAGAGAATGAGGAAGAATGATCAGTAGGAGGTGGAGAAGGGAAGAATGGACTAGGTTGGGCATTCAAGGGAGGCATAGAAGGAGATGGAGAAGTAGATTGATTGAAGGCATCAGAAGAATGCAGAGCAGGACACTCAGCATCTCTGAACTCTAAAATTGGAAATAAAGGAGATGGGGTTGTGTGTAGATGTTTGAATGGAAAAATATCTTCTCTGAACATAGTGTCCCAGCTAACACAGAAGAGTTGGGAGCTCAGTTCATACAGAACATAGCTCTTCTGACTAGAGGAATAGCCTAGATGAACAGCAGGAATAACTCTAGGGCAGAACTTATCTGTTTTCTTTAGGTTAGTTGCATAATACAGACTCCCAAAGACTCTGAGATGTTGTAAAGAAGGGGACTTATGAAACAACCTTTCAAAAGGAGATACACCCTTCAGTACAATAGTAGGAACCTATTCAGAATGTACACAGCAGTAGTAACACACTCTCCCCAAAATTTTAAGGGAACACAAGCCTGAAACCTTAAGGCCCTAGCCATATCAAGAATAGATCTATGTCTTCTTTCAACTCTGCCATTCTGTTGAGGAGTGTATACACAAGAACTTTGATGAACTATGACATGTTCTTGTAGAAGTCCTGTTACCTGGTTGTTAAAGAATTCAGTACCATTGTCTGACCTTAGACACTTGACATTGCAGTGACACTTATTTTTGACTAATAACAGAAACTTTCTCAGAATCAAAATAGATTTTGCCTTGTCATTCATTAAGAAAAGCCAGATAAACCTTGAGTAGTCATCCATTAGAGTCATAAAATACCTCCTACCATTATGAGTAGGTATTCTGTATGGCCCCCAAACATCAACATGTATGAGATCAAATGCATTAATAGAAAATGCATTACTGGAAGAAAAAAGAATTCTGGTTTGCTTAGCAACAGGACAAACTATACAGAAGTGCTCCTTCAACTGAACATTTGGTAGACTTTCTATCTTCTTTAGAACTCTTAATGGTGCATGACCTAATCTCTTATGCCATAAAACAGTCTCATCTAGACACTCGGATGAATTCTTATTTTTAGTACTACCATTATTTATTTGAAACTCACTAGTAGTAGTATTTACAAAAGGACTGGAATGAGATGGCCTAGGATCTGGCAGCTGCTTGGGAACATCTTGTTCTTTGTGCTTCAGAATGTAGAGAGCATGCTCCTCTTTACCAAGCCCCATCACCTTCCTAGTGAAGAGCTCCTGAAATATGCAGAAGTCAAGAAAGAATGCTACTAGACATCTTAGCTCTTTTGTGATTTTTGACACTGACATGAGATTGAACTTGAAATCTGGAATATAAAGTACATGATGTACTGATTTATCCTTAAACAATGATAGATCACCAGTGTGACTGATAATAACCTTTTCACTATTAGGAAGTTGAACTGAGTTCTGATCACTATCTGATAGCTTTCTAATATTGCTCAGTAGATAGAGGTTGTGAGCCATATGATTGGTAGCACCTGTGTCTATAATTCAATTATTGCTCATTAGATGAGACATGAGAGCTGTTATAGTACATGTAGTATTCATTGTTGCAGAATTAGCGACAGTATCACCTGCTTTCCTTTGTTCAACATTTGCAGGATCTGATTGTATTGATCCCGAGTAAAGAAGGGTGCTGAAGAGACACCTGTTGTTGCTGAAGAGCTATCAGTTGCTGAATTATATGATGGAACCACATTAGCAGCACTTCCTTGTTGTGTAGATGAATCAGGTGCTATGCTAGCAGTGTGTGCATATGCACCTTTGGAATCAGGAGTACCTCCCCCTCCTTTCCTGCCTCTAAAATCAGTGGGGTAGACATGAAGTTTATAACAATTGTCTATAGTGTGTCCTTTAAGATGGCAGAAGTCACACCCGAGAGATGATTTTCCAAAGTTATTTCTGTGCTTATAGCCACGATGGTAACCACTAGTAGGGGCTCTATTACTCAATAGAGCTGTAGGATCACCAACACCAACAGTAGCATTGTTTCTTCTTTGACTTCCACATTAATGAACATTGCATATGCCTGGTTTATATTAGGTACTAGTCTAGTCATAAGGATCTGATCCTTGGCATTATCAAAAGTATCATTTAGCCCAGTAAGAAATTGATACAACTTCCTAAGCTAATAATGTTCTGCATTTTGCTTAGATTCTGGACAACCACACGAAAAAGGAGGAACTAATACCTCATACTCATCCCACAACTCTCTAAGTTTTGAAAAATATTCAGACACAGATAAAAGACCTTGTGTTAACTTTCCAATTCCTTGTGTAAGTAGAAGGATCTAGATGCATTGACTTTATCAAACCTCTCACGAAGATCTTCCCAAACCTTGTGATCATCAGAAGCGTATATCACAGAACTAAGCAAATTTGGAGCCACAATATTCATTATCCAAGCCAATA